TGTTAATGTGGATTTAAAAATATTTCAATAAATGGAAAGAATTGCAGGAGGAATATAAAAAAAAAAGTCTAATCAACCAAAACTTTTGCGACCCCCATGCAGTACCTCTGAGGCCCCCCTAAGGGTCACGGACCCCCTGTTGAAGACCTCTGCTTTAGTATATTCTGCTGTAAAGTGAGTCCTATATTTTCATTTTTTACTGTGGGATGGAAGCTCTGCCGTTTCACAGGATGCAGAGCTTTGAGTGGAAACGAGGTGATTGTCAGAGAGTAAACCGAAACTTATTGGCTTATTTTTCTGACTAATCAGCACGCTCTTTGACAGCCAGTCGCCTGGGACGCTGGTTGATCAGAGCATCGCTTTGGACAGATACGCTGCTCAGGTTTCACCAGCAGCCTCCTCCCCACATCCTGCGCTCTCTTGGTGTCTGTGCAATGGAAGTAGTTCTAATCTGCACATGATGCATGAATTATTGTACTGCCTGCTCGCTCTCACTCGCATTAAACACCTCCTCACAGAGTCTAAAATCCGGGATCATTTGTTCGACCCGGTGGCATCCGTCAACAACTATCGATATCAGGGAGACCTGGGATGTCTGGAACGAGCAAAGAAGATGGTGGGAAAGATGCTACCTCATTAGCAACACTTTCTATAACAATCATTAGTGTAGAGACTGTTCCCCCTGAGGTCAAAGGTCACATTTGGACGGATGAGTAGATTTTCTTTATTCCACCACAGCTCTTCAATAGATCAGAGTTTCAGAATCACTGTTAAGCTAAACTTTGCCATGAATGTTGAGGCTGCATCAGCCGCTCTGAGGATCTTTGTGGTGCCTGGATGAGACCATATGTATGTGATGCTTTGTTTTTCCTGCAGGGGGCGCTGTGTGACGTCACTCTAGTGGTTCAGGAGCGGCGATTCGCTGCCCATCGACTGGTCTTGGCAGCTGGCAGCGAGTTCTTTCGCCTCATGTTCACAAGTATGTGGGATTTTCTTTTTCACAATCGGCCTGTTTAACCTGATAAAAGACAAAGATCTTTAATTTCAACTCAGTTTATTTCTATAGCGCCAATTCACAACACATCATCTCAAGGCACTTTCCAGTTCACCAGATCATCCAG